ACAGAAATGCAACAGAAAGGACAAAGTGAAACAAAATGATAAGGAGCCAGCATCAGGACGCAAACACAGCCGATCCACGGCTAAGCATCAAAATAATGGCTTCGCTCAGGAGGAGACTAAACCTGAAAAGGATGCAAATGGTGAGGAATGCGTCGATTGCGATGATGATGTGGGCTATGTGGGCTATGCGGCTGCCATTCTGGCGCTGCTTTTGATGCTGCTCTTGCTGCTCATCTGTTGTTGCATGCACCGGAATCGGGCGGATAAAAAAAAGCGAGGCGCATTGAAACCCTTTAATCCAGAGGAGAAAAAAACCGAGGATCGTAGTCCACCTCCAGCAGCTTCAGAGCCCTCGCCCAATAAGGCGGAATCGGAGAGAAGCTGCTGGAGCAAAATGTTTCAAAGCAAAAAGTCTAGACGCCAACAAGGTAACGCGATGTTCGCACCCAGTCCACACAGTATGCCGTTTAAGCATGGTTTCAAGCTGAGTCCTGGCATGAGCCTGGTGAGCAGCCATCGGGACGAGACCTTCAACGGTTCAATCGACATGGAAAATCAGCTGCCGCGCAAAAAAGTTGGTAAGTTGATGATCTTATCAAATATAAACGCACTCCTTGGAAAACTGAACACTTGTATTGTGTTATATATTTTAGTTCATTTAAACATATGCATATTAAAAGGCAGGCCATATTGCCTCACATATGGACATAATCCACACAACAAATTTGGCGGGTAGAGTACTGGTAAAATATCTGTACTTAAGTTCACAGTTTGAAAGTCACTGCTTTGGGGTTCAGTTTAAACAGTCTCCCATATTTTGAATTCCCAAATATCAATTTTATGAATTTCTATTTTGTAAATCTCAGGTGTGGACAGGTATGAGAATGATTCCTTTACATCGACTTCATCGTTGGTTTGTCAATTCCCAAGGAAATTCATACCCATTAAGATGGGTCGGGAAAAGCGCTATGAATATTATGGCAAATCGGAGAAAAAACGCGTCAAGCCCACTAGTAAACAGTCCAGCAATCAATGGCACCGAGAGCGAGATAGGGATAGAGACCGAGATCGAGAGAGGGAACGGGAACAGGAAAAACAGCCAATAGCTGAAAAGCACGAAGAACAATCGCGCGAAGCGAGACACCGAGAAACCGATACAAAGTTAACGACAGAGGAACGTTTACGGAAGATTAGCAGCATGCGGAAATATAGACGACAAGAGGGCGGGCTGGCCACCAGCCAAGAGAGGGAGGAGAGAGTGAAGGAGAGAGAGGTAAGTATGAAGCTGGTAAATTCAAGCAAAATCAACCTAAGCCCATGCAAGAACAGATAAGACCCATCGAGAGCGATACGAACCGTAATAGCGATTGCAGAAGAAAGGAGACATCATATGAGAACAAACTGGACAGTGAAAGAAAAAGTTCAGGTGTGTTGAGAGCGGACTGTGCTTAAGTCAAACTTAAGTCGAACTTTGTTTACAGCATTTTAAAACTAAATTAAACAATTACAGGGACTACAAATAGCTTAAGAGCTGAACCAATTATTTCGGTAAGCTTAAACCCTGAAACGCTGACCGAAAATTCGGAAATTAAATCCATGCCGCTGTCTTTAACGGACCGTTCAAGTGGCGTCTGTGAGGTAAGCTTTTAAGTATAACTTAAGGGGTAAGATTTTTGCAAACATCCTAAACAGTCTTCCGTACACGGCGCCAGTTGGGAAACCACCTACGACGATGACAGCAAGTGAGGAGCAATTGCTGTCGAACGTTTTTCCTTTTGCAATGTGTTTCATTTTTTTTTATAAATATATTTACTTAATAAAGTTCAATGTACGTTTGAGTCGAAGGCCTGACAAAAGCTGCTGCAAGGAGATCCAAGATTGGGACTAGCGCACTCGAGTTAAGACGCGGGCCAGAGAAAAGCGAGTGCAAAGCAAAAAGTGTAATATAATGCAATAACATGCCAAATTAGGATTAGAACTACGCTTATGCTAGCTGATTTGTATCGAATTTTTAAATGAATGAGAGTTATCAGAAATAGTTTCGTAAAATTGGACGGCTTCAAACTAATATTACTATTTTTGAGAAAATAATGAATATTTTCCACTTTCTACAACTGGCTTAGGGAAACATTATAATTTTAAATAAAATTATACCATACCATATTCTTGTATGAAAAATGAAGTTAAAAATGCAACTTTCTAAGCTTTAGCCAAGTTTTGTATGAAAACTGAGGCGCAGCTAACTTAATAAGCTTATCAATTTGGCAGATGTGGCCAGATGGCTTGAGCAAACCATTCATAAAATGCTGAGGTACAGCCTACTGAACAGGCCCTTTAAATTAACTGATGTTGGCAAAATGATTTCTGATATGTTAACTAAATTATCAAAACTTAATTTGAATCGCTTAAAATGCCGAGACTTGGCAAAATGAATAAGCTTATAAATTTGATTGACCCTCTTCAGGCAGGCGTAGCCAACTACAAGGTCTTTTGATTAATTGACGTTACCAGATTTTGTGCATTAAATTACAATAAAAAGGATTTTTTGCATAGCGTAAACGTAGTTGCGAGCACTTAACATTTGTTTAACATATGCTTAACATAACAGCAACAACTACAAAGTGAACGAAAAAGAAAGTATAACACTTGCAAATAAAGAGAGAGAGAGAGAGAGAGAGAGAGTGTGAGAGTGTGAGAGACGGCAAGAAGCAACCTACAGAGATGCGACCACTCAGCTAATGTGCCACCGATGAGGCCGACATTTTTGTGCTGCTGTTGCGTTGCCGTTGCAAGTGCATTTGAGCCGACAACGTCGCACAGACGGCGACCGATTAGATTTTCAATTGCCATAATACCGTTATCCTCGAATGTGCCACCGCCGCTGGTTGCCGACAGGCCCGAGTAGCGTTTGCTGTTGCGCTGCCCAAACTGATGATGATGCGTCTGTGTACGCTGCTGCACGTGGCCAGCACCGACGGCGCCACCAGCACCCGCACCGCCAACTACTCCTGTTGCATTTATAAGCGCTGCGCCACCGCCCACCGTCTTCTGTCCGTTGGCCACATCGATGTCCTGCAGCTCCTTGAGGCACAGCCATTCGCCGTCCACAGAGACGCGAAAATTGCATAGATAAATGGTGTCCTGGACGCCGCCGGCCAGCTCCTCGCTGGTATTGGCATGCGATGCCTTGGGTAAAGCAATTGTGTTGCTGTTGTTGTTGTACGGCTGCAGCTGCGTTGACTGTGACTGCAAGGATGGTGCTGCAGGTGCGGGTGTGGGTGCAGGAGGGGGCACGGCTACTGCTGCTGCTGCGGGCGTTGACTGCGCCTGTGGGGGTTGATTCTGACCCTTTTGGACTTTTCCAGCGCTGGACTTCACGCTTGAGTTGCTTGCTGTGTGGCTGCTGCTGCTGCTGGTGGTTGTTGTAGTTGTTGCTGCTGCAGCTGTTGATGACGCAGCTGCCTTGGACTTTGTGGCAACTTGTGGTGACAGCTTTTTGGCCGCACCGCCTGTTGTTGTTGTGGGCGTTTTAATAACACCCTTCAAGGGCCGAGATGTGCTGGCACTGGCCAGCGCTGTCCTGCCACGACTACCCATGTTGCTGCTGCTGGTGCTGGTGCTGCTGCTGCTGTGGTTAAGGTTGTTGTTATTGTTGTTGTTGTTGGCCGTGCCAAATTTTGACTTCTTTGCCTCGTCAACCAGTCCACGCATCGTGTTGCACTTACTTTCTTAGTTGCATACAAAAAAAGTAAAATGGCCAAAATGAGCGCATTCAAAAAGCTTACGTTGCTTGCAACATACGTGAAAAACTGCTGAGTTTGGCTGTCGGTTTAGCAGCTGCCTTGGAGCGCACTTGTTAATTTAACACTTTTTCTATATTTAATTATATTTCAAACTTTATAAATAATAATTGATTGCATTAATGTTGTATTTTTAAACGCTGCGCTGAGTTATCCTGTTGTTGCGTTGACTCAGACTGACGCAAAAGCTCCTATTGATTTGTCAAGCACGCTCGGCGTAGCGCAGCTTTGCAGGAGCTTTCGTTAGGGTGGTTCAAGAACAACGTTGGCTCATTTCGAATATCATATGTTCACAAAAATGCGTGAAAATATAGTTGTAGGTACAGTGAAAGCTCGCGTGCGCGAACGCCAACACTGCCAGTCCTTGTAAGGGCTTTAAAAAATTAATTTCTATTGCTAAAACTTTATTTTCCGAAAAATTGGAACTTAAGAAAAACACTAGCCTTTTTAGAGTTGACCGTCGGGGGCATTGGCACGTTTGAAGCGATTTCCTGTATATACAATTTACTCACCGGGCTTTTTGCGTTTGGGTTGTGCAGAAGATCCCATTGGCGTATTGGACACTGTTGCCACCGTTTGTGGCGTCTCCGGGTATGTGGTGGTGCCATCGACAACCTCGGAGGCGGCCGCGGCGGCAGCGGCATTTGAGAATTGCGTTGAAATCTGACTGAAAATATGCGACGAGATGCTTTCGGTGCGACGGAATGTGTCGCGCAGGCGATTCAATGACGAACTGGGCGCAGGCGTTGCCGTTGACGTTGGCGTTGCTGGCGACGTTGACGCAGAGTCGTCGCTTTTGTTATGGCGCACCAACAAATCGTCCGTACTCATTGCAGTACGCACCAATCACATGCACATACACTGCACACACGCCCACAAAATTCACTTCAACTAAATAATAAGTCAGTGCGTAATATTCACGTATTTTTATTAGGTGCAAGCACATCAAAAAAATATAAACAAAGAGCGAGAGCAAATATGAAACAACTGCAACAGCTGTTGCATGCGACATAATCAGTGTGCCCGTTCGATGGAAGGAATTAAAAACAATAACATAGCAACTATCGCTTTTTGTGTTATCGATAGATCGTGCTTAACCACAATCAGCTGTGCTGTGCAGCCATGTTTGTTTTTCGCACGGCCCAAAACAAAACAAAAAGTACGTATATTACGCGTACCTGTTTCATTTCAGCTGTAACAGCCCGCGTATCAGCAACAAGACTTGATAACTTACTCGAAAACTTCAACTGGGTCACAATACTAACAAACTGAACAAAAGTGTTACAATAAAACCAAAAACAACAACGTTAAGCTTGTAAGCATCTCGAATAAACGTCCCGTTACTCAGTCTCAGTGCAGATTAGTGGCCGGGCAATAACAGCGTCATCAAAATTGATCGATACTGCGCATTAAGCATATTTTCCGCATATTCACGTAGAAAGAGCAGCAACGACAACAAAGAAGTTGCGTCGATCAATAGACAAACAAACTATCCCCACATTAATGTAATGCAGAAGAAGAAAACAACCGCTGCGGCAGTGTAAGCTGCAATCAACCAAACAACTAGAGACGGTAAGGCGGAAGTGTAACTAACCTACACCCACAAGCAATTTCATATGTCTGTATGTATGCGTGTGAATGTGTGTGTGTGTAGAAAATTTTCAAGCTGTGATACAACGTCAGACACAGCGGCCATATTAGTTATTTTTGCAAACAGCACTAAACTTATTATTGAGAATCTGTGCACGGTGAGCACCACTCGAGTATGGCCGATTCGCTTGTTGTTGTTGACCATAATCAACGCGATAACACGCCAGACAACAACAATGGTAACTGCTCGGCTGATGTGTGATAAACTGGTTACACGGCCGCAATTGCGCCATTTTGAACAAGACTCGTAGTCAAGTAAAGTTTATAAATTTTGCCATTAAAATCGAAATGCTTTTCAATTTCACAATTCTTTGTTGTGCATAAGCATATCTATATTGTATGTACATGTACATGTGTGTGCTTGCCTGCACATATGGCATGCAGGCGAGGGAGAGCGCAAAGCGACGCCATGTTTCTACTTTTGCTCTCAATGCCGCCAAATCTTACTCTCATACACGCTTTGCATCGCTCTCACCCACGCTGCCTGCACAGCTGATCGATTCACGCGGTGCTCTTATCACATCGTCATTGCAGCTGTTGTTTTTTTTTGTTTTTGCGGCCACTATGTTTTTGTTTGTATGTATATATAATTGCAATAGATCGAACGCTTTTGTTTTAGGTCAACAAGAGTATATCGCATATAATTTATCACAGCATAGCTGCTCTAGCTGTTGCTCTTGCATAACGATATTATAATTTTGTCACGTGCTTTTTAACGCATTGAAATTAATATTTCAAACCGCTTATAGTTTTGTTTCTTGTATAATATCTTGACCAAACTTAACAATTTCGACCGAAATGCTCCTAATATATTAGCAAAATCTTATCAGATTACTGTTGACTATATCATAAACCACACTAGTTATTTTATAAAATAACCGTTGTGTCTAAATAAAGAAACCGAAGATATCTCTTGTTTTTTGTTCATTTACAGTACCGTTCTTGCTTCTATCTCGGTCTCTCTCTTTGCAGCCATATCTCAATCTCACTCTTTCTATCTAGTATTTACAAGTTTAGTGCAGCGCGCAAAATAAGCGGCGCCATTTAAAATCAAGTAAAGCACAATACAAGCTGATAATTTCGTATTGAAATGATTGAACATGATTCAGCTTCAGTGTGGATACGCCCTGTGTCATAGCTATTGACACATTTGCAGCAAAGTGCTGGCATATTTAAAGGCCGGGGCAGCGAGAGCCTCCGACAGAACGAGCCAACTGGCTGGCGCGATAAGTCGCTCGATTTTTTGTGTAAGAAAAATAAAAGCTGGGAGCATAAATTTCCGCATTAGCCGCAAATCAAGTGAGTGCCAGAGCGTATTGTATTGTGTTTTATGTGGAAGATAAACAAATACAAATGCAAAAACAACAAAAAATACAACACTACAACTACACGGATGCCACAAATCAAGTTCAAAGCACCGGCAACCGCGCAGCCGACGACGCGACACTTGTCAATTTTTCGAGAGGCACACGAAAGAAAAGATCGAGCTATGTGAGGCTTTTGTCCTCCATATCAATATAAATGTGTGTGTGTATATATATATATATATGTGTGTGTCTCAATTTCTATAATTGAAATGAGTTACTGTTTTTTTTCGCGTAACGTAGTCATATATAAGGTCTCTGCTCTGATATCATGAGCTCTGCTCCCATCTATTTCGTATTTCCTTTTGATTTACGCTTCTGTGTGTTTCAGTTTAAGCCTTAGGCAATAAAATAAAAAATAAAAACAAGCAAAATATACAAAATACAGGTCTTAACCGTGTTCACCTTGTTCTTCGGGTTAGCTTGTTTAGACAAGTGGCTCAGTGTGTGTTCAACAAAAATTAGATTCTTGCAAATAAGATATTGAGGTACACTCAAGTTCCACACATTGAAGATATGTAGAGCAAACGGAACATTCAAAATTTGAAAGGACCAATTCAAAGATAGCTTAAAGCTCATGCTGAAAAAGGTAAAAATAATTTCCTGATCTTCTATATAAATAAAGTTTTCGAACTGTATCCAAAGTAAGTTTAGTCTAGATATTTACAAAAAAAGGAAATTCGTCAAGCTATGAAATTTTTTTCCGTTTACTTCCATATGGTATTTAAACACATATGATAATGTGGTCCGCATTTGGCAAGTTTGTTCAAAATATCTTGAAGAGCAGAAATATTATCAATTTATTAACGAAAAAACTTATGACAACCATATGACATTGTTTTGATGTAGGTATAATTTTACTATATTTTTTTTGTACTTTTTCAAGGTATCATAACAACTCAATTTTTTTTTTAGAACTCAGCTGATTCCTATGGCAGCTATTCTCAGAAATAATATTTTATTCTGTGCTGAAATTAAGTTCAAATGATACCAAAATCTCGTTGTATTTATTTTAAGCAATATTATAAGTACATTTTTTTAAATCGTAATATACTTGATTTGGGATATTTGAAATTGAAATTTGCTATAACTAGAACGAAATTGATTTGATTCAAGTATAAAGAGTTCTTTTGTCGTGTGAAAAACAGAAGATTAAATCCCAATATCCTACATATTTATCGAGGGACCTATTTCAGTCAGTTTTAGATTGGCAGCGCGACTCAGATTATTAATTTAGTTATGTACTTTACGCGGTCCGATGTGTATATTTTAAAGCATTACAAATTCGTAAAAAAATTAATAATAGCCGCTCCGCCAGCCTGTAGAACAAACAAACATTTGAAACTGGTTTTCGATTTCTTTGTGTAGATATAATCTTATTCGTTTTTATAGCATTTAGTGGCAAATCGTGTGCTGCTGATAAGCGAACCGCAACTGAAAGTTTTCTATTCATAACCAAATGCATTTATTTACCAACAAACGACTCGCGTCAACGCTGATTAGCCACGGAGTCGCACAAAAAGTAAGAGTGCTACGACAGTAAGTACCCGACTAGTGAATGCCCTGTACCCAGCATCGACTCGACTCAACCGAGCATCGAGCCGATTTTATTGATATTTTCAGGGCAATATCATATCTTATTATACATAAATCTATTTTTCCAATTTGGAGTAGAAATGGAAATAAGTTTTAAACTGCAATTACTTCTGATTACATACTTTAGGCGACTTACCAACTAAAGGCGACTTTTTGATCGATATGATTTAAAATAATCTAGAATGGCCTACATTTCAAATATTAAGTCTCGAGCCACTGTAGTTCCCCAAATACATAACACAATAGAAAACGAGTAAGAGGCTCAAGTCGGGAGTTCCCGACTGAGGGATACCCTGAACCTCTTTCTACCAATGCCAAAGGCAAACAAATATTTTCCTCGATAGGTCGCGAACCCGCAGCAGAAAACACTATTTGCTACTCTACTCAACATCCATACCAACGAGAATAAAAGCGAATTAAAATAGCAGCACATACACACAGCACAGAAAACATTCAAAATCGAAGAAATTTTCAACAATAAATCTTATTGTACTATAGAATATTCGTGTATTCTCAAAATGATAATTGCATTAAAACTGTGACTTAAATTGGTGGGCAACACAAATTGGTTTATTTACATGTGGTGGTAACGGGGTGGTGTATATAGCTATAAAATGAAAGATACTTGATATAAATATACTATTCAAGAGTTACATGTCAAGTTTGGTGATTTTAGCTCTAAAAACCTAAGAGATTTGCTCAATATCGATTATGTCGATTACTTAGAAACGGGGCTAGTTATCGATTATTGGACTTACGTTCCAAATTTCAAGTCTCTAGCTCTTATAGATTCTGAGATCCTTGCGTTCATACATACGGATGGACGGACAGATGGCTAGATAGACTCAGCTATGTCCGCTGATCAAAAATATATATACTTTATGGGGTCGGAGATGCTTGCTTATGGCTATTACATACATTTGCACAAATACATTATACCACTTTTACCCTTTTAATGTGTTCAGGGTATACCAAAGACCGATGAACTTAGATCGACTCAGCTCATTTTCAATAGGTTCAGAGTATAAGAACGTTGGAAAAAAAAACTAAATACTCTTAACTACCCTAAGATAAACCCCCGACGCAGTCGCTGTCCCCAGTGTCCGCAGTCGGCGTCGGCGCAGCTGTGACATTGATGGGCCCAACTGACGGGTTTAGTGAGCAGTTGCCAGTTGCTGGCTAGCGAGCGTTAAATCGAAACCGTTCAAACGCATTTGCTATGCCAAATTCGGCATTTGGTTAAACGGCTTACGTATACGTGATATTTTTGCGATACCCGTTTACCCGCCCATGGCGCGTGATCAATCACAATTTGTGTCCATTTGCTCACGTTTCTGCATAGATTTATCCATAGTTGACATTGCGCTGACACTTGGAGGCCCTCCCCAAGCCGGCAGCAGCAGCTCGGACACACAAAGGTCGCAGTCTGTATCGTGTCTATATCTTGGACACACTCGTATTGCCATTTGGTCGGCGTCTACTTATATCTATCTTATCGCTATCAAAAACTGAACAATTTAAGCTGCATTGTGCACATCAAATCGGAATCAACAGCAAAAATAGCTCAAAATGTGTCGTAAATCATACGCGCTGCCCGCGCAGCTACCTCTACCAAGTTCCCCACAAGTATGTTGGCTTTTCACAAAGAACTCTGTTAAACATTTTCCCAATCAGTTCAGTCGCCTGCTGCTCGCCAACGACAACGGATTTCATTACTACGGATTTCTGCTTCGAGAGTGTTTTAACAGATTTCCCTCAAAACTGAGCTCTCGATTATCATCGTGCGTGCATTTTGTGAGAATTTGTGCTAATGTAAGCTCGTCTTCCTTGAGTCAAACGTGTTTTTTTTTTTGCCCATGGGGTGGGCATCGTATTACAAAGCTCAGGGCTTATCTGCTGTGTGCCACAGTATTACTCATACTCATGAAGTCGACATTTTTATAGATGTAGATGCACATAACATTAAATCTATATAAAAATAGTTAAGAATACCATATTAACTTAACCTTACCTCTTTAAATGGCAGTTGGGAAGTAGAAATTGTGGATTTTATTTACAGTTGTGTCTCGATAGGTCTTATATATTTATTCATTTTTTTAGCGAAACGTATACATATATATTTCCCGCAGATAAAAATATGGGATAAAAAGTATATAGATTAATATAATTTTTATTTCGAATGAAACTCAATATCCGATAAATAATCTACATATAAATTTATGATTACGGAGGATTCTAAAGAAATCGAAAAGTAAATAAAAAAATGTCAATAAGAAATTCGTTTATGTACAAAAACGCATTTATCAAATTATATTTAGATAAATATGTATGTATATATATGTATGCAAAAACAAAGAATTACACAAAACGTGACTTTAGCAGCTTTTTCTTTTCTCATGCAAAAACCTTCCGATGGTCCCGAAATCTTTAATGAGCCGCCCGACTTAAGGCGAAATGTCACATTTTACACAGCTATCTAGTTATCTGGTCATATTTAAGCTGTGATACTTGAGTTTTACACCAGCTCCGCTTATCGATGTGTCGCTCTATCGGCTGTTGCCCGATGTGACGTCCATTGTCTGGTTTCCATGGGGGGGATTTGTACATCAATCTTATATCAGTGGAAGCGCAGTTGCTAGGCGACTAGGCTGGGAAATTTGTTGCTCGACTAACTGAACTTGACGTTTAATATATAATATAATACACTCCAAATTCTCGTGTGATTACCAAATTTGAAAGAAATATATTTATATATAAATATATATATAGTATATATAATGTTTATATAATAACAAAACTATTCAATTTTCATATTTAGCTTGTTTGTGGGCTTACAGTTAAGGCGAAAGGCAATTAAATTGGCTCAAGCGTTGCAGTTGGAGAGGTCATGACAAGGCATTGACTGAGCCAAAGCCAACTATCAATTACAGTGAACACCTCCTGAGTAAGACGGGAGATATAACCAAACAGAGCAAGTGCAAGGGCAAATTCCAATACTTCTCAAGATGAATGTCAGCAGCAACTTCTTTGACGAGCACTTTGGGCTGATTTACACAAATCTGGTGAATGAATATGTGCCAGAATATTTCAAAAGTATGGAGTACACACCGTGGGTATTCTCACTGCTTGGCTCCGCAGTGATTGGGCTCAGCGGCATCTTACCGCTGCTCATAATACCAACAGAGGAGAAAATGGCCAAGGAGGGCTTCAAAGATCGTTAGTCTCAAATAATTTACTTCGAACTAGAATATATATATAATAATATATCTTTGTCTATTTATAGCCGCTGAGTCCAAGTTCCTGCGTGTACTGCTCAGTTTTGCGGTGGGCGGACTTTTGGGTGATGTTTTTTTACATTTACTGCCAGAGGCCTGGGAGGGCGATAATCAAAGTGAGTAATCCATTATCATGACATTTTATATATTAACATAAAATTCCCCTCGCCTATTATAGACGCCAACAGTCATCCATCATTGCGCTCTGGGCTGTGGGTGCTTTCTGGAATACTCATCTTTACCATTGTAGAGAAAATCTTCTCGGGCTATACCAGCGCCGACGAGGAAAATCCACAGCCCAAGTGCGTGGAGATTGCCAACTGTCTGCTGCGTCGTCATGGGGGCAAACTACCCGAAGGCCAGACAGCGGAAAACTGTGGCAGTGCCTGCGATATTGAGGATGTGGACAAGATGTGCTTTTTGCGTGAACGCGAACAAAAGTCCAAGGAGCACAAGGAGCAGCCAAAGAAAGTAGCCGGCTATTTGAATCTGCTGGCCAATTCCATAGATAATTTCACACACGGTCTGGCAGTAGCCGGTTCGTTTCTGGTCTCCTTTCGGCACGGCGTCCTGGCTACGTTCGCAATACTGCGTAAGTGTTTTGCGAAGGCATATCAAAGCGTCAACCTATCTATTTGTTTCTTTAAAGTGCATGAAATTCCACATGAAGTGGGCGATTTTGCTATACTGCTGCGGTCCGGTTTCAGTCGTTGGGATGCGGCTCGCGCTCAGCTGCTAACCGCGGGCGCCGGCCTCCTGGGTGCTCTGGTGGCCATTGGCGGTTCGGGCGTCACATCAGCCATGGGTAAGCATCACAAGAACTCTTTGAAGCTCTTCTTAACTTACGATTATTGCAGAGGCACGCACATCCTGGATCATGCCGTTTACCGCTGGCGGTTTCCTGCACATTTCATTGGTCACAGTACTACCAGATCTCTTGAAGGAGGACGAGCGCAAGGAGTCTGTCAAACAGCTGCTGGCGCTAGTCTTTGGCATTGCTTTAATGGCCCTCATGACGATGCTCTTCGAGCACTGAGCCATGTCCAACGCCTCCAAGCAGCAGTAACAGCAGCAACAAATTAGACGCTGCTTTCAAAATTATTTTGTTATATTTTCGGCCACCACAAATCCCAAATTGTCATTGGCAGTACAAATTTCTAGGAATTTTTGTTGTAATTGTATTGTACATTAATTGCGCATTACGACAATACGACCCGCCCTGTTTGTGTTATGTAATTATAGCCAACTAATACGAATGATATTTGAACTATTATATTAATTACGTATATTTTATATCATACTGTATGAAGTCAGGTTGCATAGAGAAACAAGTGAAAATTTAAATATACATTATGAATATATATCTTAGTTAAGCATAAATCGAAACTGTGTTTTCCAACAAATATCAATATATATTTATTTATGAACGGTTCGTGAGTGCCTTCCAAAATATGATTGAGTCCAGCGTCTCGTTAACCTGGTCAGGTCTTTGTTTAGACCTGGTTTTGCCGTTTTTATACCCTTGCAGAGGGTCTCGAAAAGTGTAACGCATAAAAGGAGACATCTCCGACCACGTAAAGTATATATATTCTTGATCAGTATCAACAGCCGAGTTGATATAGCCATGTCCGTCTGTTTCTATGCGAACTTGTCTCTCAGTTTTAAAGCTATCGTCATGTAAATTTGCATACGTCCCGCTTTCTGTTGCACGCAGTACATATGTCGGAACCGGCTGGATCGGACCACTATATCATATAGCTGCCATAGGAACGACCGGTCGAAAATGAAGTTCTTGTATGAAAAGCTTTTTGTTTATTAAGATATCTTAACCATACTCGGCATTAACTATTTTCCCTATACTTCTTAGATACGAGCAAAGCATTATGAGAATACTTTTTTTTTTTGGCATGATAACCATTTTATTTATAATCTGTCTAGCGTTGACAATTATTAAACTTTTTGAATGATGTGACTTGGTGAGTTTCATTTGTAGTGATTTCTTATTGTAAATGATGGCGATGTTTGGATTAAGTATTTTGGAAGATCCAGCGGGTGCACTCTCTTGCTTCTTCTAGTGGCGTTGCTGTTGTCCAGCAGGCCAACTGCTAGGTTGTTCTTGTGAAGGTGGAGCATATGCTGCCTTTGGCAATCTCATCACTGACCCATGGGATCTTAAGAACACTGTGGATAAAAGCGATGTCATGATAAATATTTGCATTGGAAACGATGCGCAGAGCCTTGTTTTGAAATATCTGAATCAACCTTAGGTTGCTTCGGCTGGCATAGCTGAATGCCGTAAGTCCAAATTGGTTTGATAATTGCCTTGTAGAGAGGGTGCTTGTTAACTTTTCTTTAAAAGGTCAGTTCTCCAAGTTAACCTCCTGTCAAGAGTCATGCCAAGGTATTTTGGTGTTGTCTCTTCTGGTATTACAGTTCCGCTTAGGTAGACAGGTGGGCAGTTCCCAGGTCTGAGATAGAAAGTGGTGGATGTGGACTTGTCGTTGCTGACCATGATGTTCCATCTCCTCTGCCATTCGTTGAGTGTGTCCAATTGGCCTTGCATGATTTGAGAAGACTCTTCAAGTGTCTCAGCAGTGGCGAGGAATCCCGTGTCATCGGCATATGTGGCGACTAGAAGGTTCGGGATCACAATAACAGGAACGTCTGCAGTATGAATGTTATATAGCAGGGAGCCCAGCACGCTGCCTTGAGGAACGCCCGCTCTAATGACCTTAATTGAAGAGATAGCTTCTCCACATTTAACCTGGAGCTGCCTGCCTTCCAAGTATGAGGCGAAGAATGCTTAGTGGGCCTGCGGTAGGTTGCTCCTGATTTTGAGTAGAAGCGCAGGATGCCAAACTCTGTCATTATTACGCTTTACGGCGCAGCAATATTTTTTATCTTTGAACGCCTCCAGGATGCGTTGCACAACTCTATGACATTGTGCCGGGGTTATGAGCATCATGAAAAGGTTCGGTCTGCTTAAGACTTTGTTTCGTCGATTTTCAATTTTAAATGTGTGATCTCTGGGTAGCTTTCCGAACTAAAAATATATTTCCAGTGATTTTGAACGAAAACTTAAAATGAATTATATAATTTCAGTTATCGCGCGTACAGCACAAAAAATTGAATTTGAAATTCGAACCGGTGCGCAGCCTTTTTTGTGATAGCTGAGATATGAGTATAACAAAACATAAATAAACCTTGCCAAAATGCTTGCTAATTTTAGAAGCCTTGGATAGATACCAACACACATACTTGATCATGATCTAATATGCAGCTCAAACTATATAAACTATTTTGTCAAAAAAAAGAGGGGAAACCGATATCCGATTCGACTCTACAAATAACAAGTCATTTGTTAAGATTGGAAACAATATTTCCAAATATTAACTTGAATCCTTCCAAGTGCATGCCTGACAGACATATTCCATGTCTCAATATAATTCAATTCTGTGTAAAATTTCACAACATATACAAATACAGTGGTATATGCTTAACTCGAAGTAGTAGAAAAACATTTCAACAGAATCTACTCAAGCTTGTTTATGAGATTAAACAAAAAAATAATTTATCGCTTAGGAACCCAGTGAAATATTAGTAAATACAAGAAATATTCAAGGTAATATCTTATAAACAAAGAATATAGCAAGCAGCGCAGCTCTAGGCGGTATCGTTATCTATTCCACTTTTGTTTCTTTTTTTAATACCAATTAAAAATTATAAACAACTATTTAACATAGTTTTATGCAGAATGCACAAACGCATACAAAATCGATGGAGTAAAATGTGTAAAATGTTCTTCTTATAAAAAAACAAGCCGTTTTATTTGTTTTTGTTTGCAAATCAGTTGTCAGTTTGCATTCTTATCTAGTGCGTTTATTTCTTAGACTTGATCTTCTTAAGGTAGAATTCCAATTCCTTGCCTTCCAGAATGTAGCCATCGGAGCGACCGCACTGGCCGGGGCGGGATGAAATGCAAGCTGTTTGGATAAATAGAATACGAAATACATTAAAATACTGCAGATAATATTACAAATCAAATAATAAATTAAGAGATCTCAGAGTAACTATGACAAGCGTGATTCACGCCCAACTGGCTTGCATCTCACTTAAAACAAGATTAATGCAATAAATTAGTTGGATCGCTAGGGTTTTTACATCATTGAAGGGCACTCAAAGTTAGCTGTCTATCCAGAATACGTACCCAAGATGCGACCAGAGGTGAACTGATCCTCCACAGCCTGCTCCACTTTGCCGTACTTTTGACGCTCGAGGTACTTCTTCATGACCTTGTCACTGCGCTTCTTGGTCAACACATCATTCTCATCCTCCTTCTGCACGTGCTTAGGATTACGCTTGCGACCCAGTGGCAGCACATAGTGTGATTCGTACCATTGACGGAATGGCGTCGCATCGATGACCACAATGCTGTTCTTCACCAGCGTCTTGGTACGCACCAGTTCATTGTTTGACGCATTGTAGACAACATCGGCGATACGCGTTTTGCGTGCAACACCCTCTGAAGCCCAGGCGAAGTTGCCTGTCTCCAGTCGCAGGGCGCGCAATTTGGTGTTGCCACCACGGGTGCGCACCTTGTGCACGCGGGCACCGCCAAGCTGCAAATATTTATAAACAGAGTTGCCAGATATTAGCAAAAGTTGCCAAATAGAAAATTAACTTTATTTTTTTTTTTAATTTGCAATCAGTAGTCCGAACATAATGCTTTTTGATCATCAAAGATTGTTGCCCTCGAACAAGTCGAGTGCGTTTGCAGTTGACACGCGTTAACATCATTTTATGATAATTTTGTGTGTAAAAACTATGGCGACGGGCGCGCGTATGTATGTATGAAACTCACCTTGGTGTTGGCAGCGGGACGACCCAACTCGAACTTGCGCTTCTTGCGGAGCGACTTGCGCTTGCCACCAGTGGCGCGACGCTTGTGTGCACTATCACGGCTAATACCTTGAATTATGCAAAAGGATATGCACCCAAATTAAAAATTCCGAATTCATAGCAAACACAGTTGAAATATCAAGAAAACCTCAACACGCGGTGCTGCCTGCTGCACAAACTTTAAATTCACAAATGTTAGCTAAAAATCATTTTCATTCTATGCTACACAGGTGCACTGTTAGCTGGCACGTATTCTGCGCACATTGATGTTGTTTTTATGCATTTCACAGTCGATTTTCTTGATATTTTAACACAATTTGCACTAGCCGACGACTCACCCATGTTCGAGTAAAAAGCGAGAAAGAAAGGAAAAGACACGCACAACCTCGTGTCAAAAAATTTTTAGGTTATCGACTGACAGCGATGGGCAGCACTTTTTGCAGAGTTGCCTTTTGGACTAATAACTGTCCCCTTTACGTAATCGATACAATATTAATTTATGCATTCACTAGTTTTTTTAATACGAACCAGCGACAGCACACTTTAACATTCGTTCGATATTTGGAAATAATCGATAAGTCGCTGAACTTCTGACATCCCTACTGTACATGAACTAGAAAAATATAACCCAAGCCAACTCGGAGCAACATAATTGTGTTGATTGTGCGCGTATGAGAAATAATCAAAATAACAAACATCAAATGTAATCATGGTTGGCCGAAATGCCAAAGCGCTGTCACATTTTCACCGGCTAACCGAATATATTGTGCAATGTAAGCACTGCGACAAGACCCTCTCATCCAAACACACTTCTTCCAATTTGACGCGCCACTTAATCAGGAATCACAAGCAGTTGGCGCGCGCAATATTTGCCGGTGACGAGGGTAAAATGCTAGCGGAGCTAAGGGAGGAATTGAACGCACCAGATCCGGAACCAGATGTACACATGGAGGCCAATTTGGGAGAGCGGGAAACAAAAACGGCGGTGCGCACCATCATTGACAATCAACACCAGGTGCGCCAGGAGCAACATCATCATGCCGAACGCAATAAAGTGATTGGCAAAAATAATAAGCTGTGGGCGCACTTTGTGCGCATTTCCGAGTTCATGGCCAAATGCAAGCACTGCAGCAAAACATTATCCTCGAAACACTCGTCGTCCAATCTGATGCGGCACATCATCCGGCGCCATCATAATTTATCCAAAAACCTCAGCTACTCGCAACACAGCCTGATATCACCCAAAAAGGAGATAATGCAAGCCGAGGACCGTAGGCAGTTGGATCCATTGGAAAAGGTCGACTTCGACGATGTGGATAGCATCATTGAGAAGGTCACGGATCACATGGAGGATGAGGTAGG